AACATTATTATTTTATTTCTATGCATTTAGAATATTACAGATTGAGGAGCTTTGATCTTAAATTCACAGTGAATTCTAATGTACATTAGTTTGCAGGATATTACTATAGTTTATCCAGGGTATGTCCAAAACAATTCTTCTGAACGTGATATGTGTATTAAATGAGCATTATTAACAGTAAAGAGAAGGAAACTTATAACACCCAAGATAAATTGATAATTTGTTGATAGTCACCGTCGCTTACTTATCTGGATGGGTCGTATGACCTGGTAAGCCGTCGCTAGAAAAACAAAATAATAATAATAATAATAATAATAATAATAATAATAATAATAATAATAATAATATAAACACTTCTCACGTTTTCCATGTCGCTGCAAAATCGTCTGGTTGATTTTCATACTTAATATCGTCTGAACCATACATGTCATCGTCTTGTTCACCATTATAAATACCACATATTCCTTCCATGTGACCTCTTAGGACACTGTGCCCTGCTATATGCAGCCTTAAAGCTCTGTCCCAGAATTTCATTTGGATTTTCTGACAATTTGGAAAGATGTAGCTAAACTCATCTAATCCACTTTGGTCACCACCAGGCTGTAAACAAAAGTGAAGATTATTATTCGATATAACGCTGTTATGTGACGTCAGCTACAGATGATGTTGTAAGAATTGAATACATGATGACGTCACGAAGAGAGTTATCCGGTTTCAATAACTTTTTTTCTCACGTGTCACAGTCCACTCAAAAACTCGTATTAAACCACAGCATTACCGATTCTGGCTATATCTTGCCCCTTATTTATAGTATCGGTTCCCCTTTAAGGATTACTAGTACTCACAACATTGGTGGTATCTATTGTCCCGTCATTTCGTCTAGTAAGCGTGATAGTCTCAGTTCCGTCTATGAGGAAGATTTTATGGAATATATGCCTTCTCTTATTATGGTGCTGTACGAGCTCAAATTCAATTTTAATCTGGTCGCATGGAGTATCAAACCCATAAACACGGGTTGCTAGGTATCTCTCTGGCTCTCCAATGAATTTGAATTTAACCTGATCAAAAGTACTAACATGAGGATCTCCGTGAATTTTGCATTCACCACATTGATGACCTGTAATAACAAATCACCAGAAATCATCAGAAAGTTAGTCTAAGTCCCATAAATGTACATATCAACAAAACCCTAAGTTGTGTTTACCCACAATATACCGACTACAGATACACATATTTGATTATGTAGTTACATTTATCCCATGTATCATGGAAGTCGCAATGTTTTGATTTAGATAAAGGTTACATGGATTACACAAGTTACAGTTTGTCTTGTATTGCTCTGTTTCCATGGGCGCATTTACATTTGGTGTTGCGTGGCGTTTTTAAATATGAATTAAATTCGCTCAAGATAAATTAGTTTTCGCTACATTAAATCCACTTGAATCATTGTTTTTTCTACCAAGTTCGTGAAGTAAAAACCTATTGAAAATACTCAAAACATCAAAAAAGTAAAATTAAAGTGAAATATAGCCACATAAAGATGACCAAATCTTACCGAAATATTGTTTTAGACACAATTACATGGTCAAAGTGGCCATACACAAGGGTAAAGTTACATGTAATGCGATTTGAAAACCAATTTCACTAATAATCGCTATTTGTGCTATTTCTTTGAAATCAGTCATGTGATTAGGACCATAAAAGTGTAATGACATATAAAATCATCAATGCGATGCCGTCAGAGAAAGGCCTCTCAAGATGCCGACACATTTTACATTTCGCCCAGTGCCCTCAGTAAGTTGTCTTCTTTATCGTAATCCCTCAGGTTTGCTTGAGAAAACTGGTTTTCAATAAATTGCGCCCTCTGGAGATCTGGACGCAACCACGCGGTCATCTGCTAGTATTTTTACTTGCAAGATTCAATGTACAATGCCAGTATACGCGTATATGCAATGCTTTCAGTATCCACATCTCGCATTTCGGTGATGGCCGTTAAATAAACTGTTTAACGATAGTTCATCCCTGTGTTTGGATAATAATTTAAGCCATTTTGCGATAACACCGGTAAATACCTTTGACGAATAGATTTATGACGAAAACAGCGTTCTATGCTCAAACCTGTTGATCTGAGTTTGTGTGGTGGTCCGTGCGCCCGCATCTGTATCAAACACGTCTGGACCGATGACACATACATCAAACATACATATTATGATACATAAGCACGTGCACTCGTTCAGCGACCAAATTCAGATGGCAGTCATCAAAATCAAGCAACTGTGTCATTTTGGAATCGGGTCATTCAATATTGATGCATATATGGTGCTGTACACAATTTGGTATTATTTTCGTTTCTGACAAGATAGGACGGAATGGCATGGAAATGATACATGCTACCAAGAACTTTATATATAGTACAATGTATAGATAAAACATGAATATACGACGTTTTTTATGAAAGCTGTGGTTATGGTTATATTGTTGTACTTCCGGATACTTTTACTGGGAAGATTGTTTTGAAGGTTTTTTCTTAGATTTGTTTTACTGTTTTTGGCTGCAAGCTGTCTAACTGCAGGAATCATAGAGATATTTGATTTCCATTTTCTACTCATTCATTTATTCTAATTTATGTGTTATTATTTACCATATTACAGTGTTGGTTGATGTTTTATTATGATACGTTACGTTTGTACTTCATATTACCCGCCATCAACATATAAAACGTGCTTGATTAATACAACAGCAATCCGTTTCCATCCACCCAACACAAATATAACTCAGTAACAGTGTTGTTTTGAAAGTTCGTATTGCACGCATCAAACCGGAAGAACAACATTAACAACAAAAATAATTATTATTTTATTATTACTTACCTGGAGTTATATCTTTCCAGTAACTAAGGTTGTCACCTTGAACAAAATAAAAAATGAGCGTAAGTTTATAGAACCTTTCGTGTATATATCTCCGGGTATGTAGTTCTTGTTGTCTTCAGAAATGTAACCTGTCTTACTTTGTAAGATACCGCAGTTATATGCATGACTTTACTACATCTACAATCTAATCTAACTTACATGTCGTAAACAGTGAATAGAGTACATAATAAATAAGGTAAGCAAAAGATCATATTTGTAAATATTTATTCACAGTGCAAACAGCAGAGTAAAACAAACATAAATATTTAGTTCAGATTTTTACTTACATTCTACTAAATATTCATGGTCCCTGGCTTTTCGGTTGAGGGAAGTTTCTTCCTCCTGTAAGGAAATATAGGAATATACAAGCGTTAGTTGGCACTGCATGGGAAATTTAGTTATCAGTCAGTAAGAAACTAAGTCCTTTCTTCGACGGACAATGTTCACATTTTAATAAACAGAATAAGAGCGGCCATACATGTACTACAATGATCTGTCATCTCTGTTAATGTGTGTATTTAAGGTAATCTATGTAGCATTAAGATTTGTAAAAGTATCACTAAACAATGTAAGAAAAACATTATACAACAAAATTGTACCAATGAGAAAACGTCTAAAAATATATTTCATAATCCGTGGTAGAAAGATGCTAAGAAGTGATATCCGGTATCCGAAAAAAATTGAAAAAATAAAATAAATGTGACAACGTCTAGTGATTTTACTCACCATGGTTGCAGCATAGCTAGCGCCCAAAACACAGAGTACGGTGATAAGGGTTTGGTAATGCATCATGAGTTCTTTGTCTTGTCAACAATGAAGCCGAAGTCACACTGAGTAGTGTTGGTTTGGCCTGTTGATAATAAACATTTCGACTATTCCATTGTTGTAAAGGGGGTGCAAACCTATTTATTCGACTAAGTGGGTGATTAGTAACTGGCACGCACGTGCCACGTGCCACATAGTAACTATGGTATAGATTAATTTGTGGTTGTCAGTGATTAATTTAGACATGGAGTTCACTTAGGGGTTGACTAAAATATAGAAAATGCAAGGCATGAGATGACCAAACGTGTCAAATCACATTGTGTTAATAATAAAATCCAAGTTTGTGCACATATTTACTTTGAAAGTTACGTTTCTCTTCGATTATTTTGCTTCTCAGTATAATACTCAAAGCAATTCGTCAAGGTTGACCCGTGTATGTTCATCCAAATCTGCTTTCACCACAATGCAAAGTGTGATGCCATACACAACGACATTACATAGTGTGCAATCCATTACATTACATAGTGTGCAATCCATTACATTACATAGTGTGCAATCCATTACATTACATAGTGTGCAATCCATTACATTACATAGTGTGCAATCCATTACATTTGTCATAATCTTACAACTTGGTTTTATGTTGTATTCGGTCGTTACTTTTAATTTTTTTAACATAGCTTCTTTGAAGATCAAAATTGTTTTAATGAGATTATAGATAACTTTATAATCTATTTTCTTGATTGACGTACTGAGTATACTAAAGAAAATTATATGCGTGTTTTGCAGAAAAGCAACGTAACTTCACATTGTTGATTGGAACCCTGACTTGATTTATTCGATGAAGTAAATTCTTTTAGAAGTAATACTTCAAATCAATACATGATAATATTTTTTACTTAAATTTATCCGTACAAAGTAATTTAAAATTGAACATGTGGTGTTATATTCAAACAATGTTTCCCAATATTCAATGAAAAGGTAATAATTTGTCTGTGATATACAATCAGATTACCAATATAACAAATTTACATACGCGCATACGTCAGCATGTTATATCTAAATTATTTTTCTACATGTATATAATTATGCTTTATTATGCCATTATGCAAAAACCTAACATTGTTGGTGTAACAAAGTACAAGAAAATAATATCTACAAAGTATTTCAAAACACATAGAACACAACGTATAAACAGCTTTGATTTGAATTGATTATTTTTAGATGAATAATTAATTTTTCACATGAGTGAAAAACACACAAAACAAACAACTTTAACAACCCACAAATACACGGTCATATTAGTGAGAATAAAAATATGAAAATAAATTGTTGTTGGAAGATAAAAACACCAATACACATCAAGACAAACTTAAATAAACATTACTCCTTTCCGTAACTGTAAAATAAGTTTATATTATAACCCTAGAAACAGAAATATTTTTGACATTAATAGTATTGAAAGATTAAATTAACAAATCCCCACCGGATGTTTTGGGATTGAATTAACGTATCTACGGATACAGATATGTCTCATTGGTTGCATGTTAATAACATCACCAAATACATATGTGAATGTCTGTCGCATCGGTTAACCTTTTGATGTATAAAGATTATTGTCTACTCACATTTTTTGAGTCATTTTGATGCTATAGCAA